GGAGAAGTTACAGCGGCGGCGGTGGTGGCAGTTGTGGTGGTGGCAGTTGTGGCAGTTGTGGCAGTTGTGGTGTTCTGGGGTATTAAAGAACAGACCGCCGCGCAGAGAGAGCAGCTTTTATAAAGTGTGGACCAACTCCGCTCTGTGTCATGACGTCGACAATGAACCAATAGGAGAGCCGCGAGTAAATGTGTCCGTGAAGGCACCACCCAGTTCCTTCAAATATTCATATGCTGTGTAAGCCTGACTTCATCTTCATCATCTTCATCATCTTCATCATCTTCATCATCTTCATCATCGTCACTCCTGATCATTTTCAGTTGGAACGAAGTCTTTTCTTACAGAACATCTCCATCATCTGGACTGTTTTTCTCCCAGACTGTCACTGTGTCCCAGTGATGGTGGGGGGTCCGGGGGGGGCGGGGGGTCCTGGGGCTAAAGATGAGGGTCTTGGCACCCCACCCTGCACAGCAGCTGGCAGTGGGAAAGTATCGATGGCTGAATATTTAAAGACATTTATTGGTAAAAACCAGAGAAACCAGAAAATGAAGTTCAATCACAATGTTGATGCATTTATTCAAAAACAGAATTATCTGGACATTTGCACTGATTTCTTTACTACGGAGACTTTTGGTCTACGTTTACAGCTCTGTAAATTCATGTTGCACAGTTTTTTGCTTTAAAAAAACCTTTGTACTTATTTGTCTTTCAAATCTTATCAACACCATTCTTTACTATGCACGACTCGACTCAACTGTACAGCAGGGGGCGCCAACTGTATTTGTGGGAGGGCCGGACACTCACATAAAAACTGGAATCCAGTCATGGCCCAGGTCTGGGCTGTCTGGGCCTAATTCAGACCGCGGGCCCCGACTTGATAATCAGATGGATCACTCACATGTCCGGGCCTAATTCAGACCACGGGCCCCGACTTGATAATCAGATGGATTCATTCTGTTTTTTTTTTTTTCTTTGGCCTCAAATGGAGAGAAAAAAAAGACACAAAAGCTGAGAGATGAAATGGATGTTTTTACACGTTGTGTCTTGTGTTCCAGTGTGATGTGTGTGATGTGTGTGATGTGTGTGATGTGTGTGATGTGTGTGATGTGTGTGAGGGTTTGGCCTCAGACGTGTGAGGAGAGAGAAGAGTGTGAGGCTGATCCTGACAGTGTGTTAGAGACAAGGACGCAGAAGATTTAAAAAAAAACCAAAGAAAAAAACCAAGTGTTTTTAAGTGAATGAACAACATGATGTCACAACATGTAAGGAGGTTAACCTGACCTCTGACCTCTGACCTCTGTCCTGGCTGCTACGTTGACTGGTGTCTAGTCCATCGTCTCTTTTCGTCTGTTTTCCGTCCTCAGCAGCAGATTCGTCCTTCTCGCTGCCTCGAGGTGATTGGATAAAAATAAACACAGGTTTCAGTCCCAGTGCAAACGTCCAACTATAAATAATCAATAAAAACTGGAGCTTTAGTGCAGAGCTGTGTCGTAGAGTTCAAATAAAACATCTTCTAAAGACGTCAACACTGTGACTGTGTTATCGTTTAATAGATCATTGATAAGAAATGGACAAAAACACTTCTGTTAAAGAAGACATCAGGACATCACTGGTCTCCTGATTTGTCAGGTCAAATCCCAGGACAAAATATTCCATCAAACCAAACTCTCTTTGGGTTTTTCTACCATTCTTTATCGTGTATTTTCATCCAAATTCACAAAACTGAACAGACCTGGAACAGGTGACCTGACCTTAGAAACAGACATTAATAATAGATAATGATAAAAGATGATGATGATGATAACGTGATCGATGTTCCTGACATCAGAAACCTCCTGGGTTTTAAATAAAACGAAGAAAATGTTTCATCTTTTCACACTTTCTAAAATTAGAATAAAGGCAAATCTGATTTCATGATCAGATGGAGCCCTAGTGGTCAGTGGGAGGTACTGTAATTTGAAGAATGGACGGAGACACTGGTCCAGGCTCAGTGACGGCTCACGCGGTGTCACAGTGGACGCAGTGTGAACTGGACGTGAGTGTCTGAAACCAACGGCATCAGTGTACGTGCAGATGCACGTGCACGTGCACGTGCACGCTCATGTTCGTGTTCTGTGCAGCAGAGGGATGTGATTCATCACTGAGACGTTCCTCAGTGTTTGTCAGGAGAACTGAGACTGAGTTCTCCTGAACGACGATGAATTTTTCTGTGTGGGTAAAAAAAAAAAAAAATCAGTTCTGAAGGAAACCTGGACAAAATCCAACCTGACAGATGATGAGATTAGACAGAGAACGGAGAAGAAATCCAAAAGAGAGAGAGAGAGAGAGAGGGAGAGAGTGGACAAAGTTCCACCCACTAACTTCGTGTTCTCTCCGCCCACTGTGATCAGGGATCTGGATTCAATTAGTCTTGCCTTGTCTGTGATGCTGATCAATATCTATCGTATTAGTAGTGGGCGGAGCCAAACCAGCTGCACCGTCAGCACCTGAACACTTATTGACCGCCGTCAAAATATCGGCATTAACGTTGTTTATTTATATCAGAGAGAAACGGTTCAATATCTATTCAATCATCGGGAAAAAAAACAAAGAAACAAAAAAACTTCTTTAATGATTGTTTTTCTTTAAAACGTTTCTGCTTCATGAACTCTGTGTCTGTGGGAGAAACGTGTCGTTGTGATTTGTTCACTGGAAAAATAGTCAAATCAATGAGGCACAAAGAACTGACCCCAGAACTGACCCCAGAACTGACCCCAGAACTGACCCCAGAACTG